TATGTCTAAATTGAAACATACACATCACACATAGAATATGTAAAAATTGAAACATACACATCACACATAGAATATGTCTAAATTGAAACATACACATCACACATAGAATATGTCCAAATTGAAACATACATACAACACATAGAATATGTCCAAATTGAAACATACTCACCATACATAGAATATGTCCAAATTGAAACATAGACATCACACATAGAATATGTTCAAATTGAAACATATACACCATACATAGAATATGTCTAAATTGAAACATACACACCACACATAGAATATGTCAAAATTTAAACATACACACCACACATAGAATATGTCCAAATTGAAACATATTCACCATACATAGAATATGTCCAAATTGAAACATACATACCACACATAGAATATGTCCAAATTGAAACATACACATCACACATAGAATATGTCCAAATTGAAACATACACATCACACATAGAATATGTCCAAATTGAAACATACACATCACACATAGAATATGTTTAAATTGAAACATACACATCACACATAGAATATGTCCAAATTGAAACATACTCACCACACATAGAATATGTCCAAATTGAAACATATTCACCATACATAGAATATGTCCAAATTGAAACATACATACCACACATAGAATATGTCCAAATCGAAACATACACATCACACATAGAATATGTGTAAATTGAAACATACACATCACACATAGAATATGTATAAATTGAAACATACACATCACACATAGAATATGTCCAAATTGAAACATACATACAACACATAGAATATGTCCAAATTGAAACATACTCACCATACATAGAATATGTTCAAATTGAAACATAGACATCACACATAGAATATGTTCAAATTGAAACATATACACCATACATAGAATATGTCTAAATTGAAACATACACACCACACATAGAATATGTCAAAATTTAAACATACACACCACACACTTTTGCAAAACCACGCCCAAATTGTAAGTCGTTGTCCAATTAACAACAAAATTTCGACTTACGGGCAACTTATACTTTTGTTAAACTCCCCACATCTAGAACTCAAACTTTAATAACAGTTAACGAACTTCGAGTTACGGCAACATAGATTTTT